AAATAATGGGAGGGACCCACCTTAGACAGAGTGGTCAAGGAGCACATAGCTTGAGATCTGAAGGGTGAGAGCTGCCATGCCAAGAGACGGGATGAGCCCACTGTCCACACAGAGGGACCATTAACGGCAAAGCCCCAAGCAGGGGCAAGCCTGGTGTGGTTGAGGAGCAGACAGAAAGCCAGTGTGACAGGCTCACAGCAATGGTGGCAGTAGGGAACGGGCAGTGGTAGGAGCTGATGCAGGGGCCATATGCAGGGACCTGTAGCTTTGATAAGGAGTTTGTGTTTTATTTTGATGGAAAGTCACTGGAGGTTTTAAAGAGGGCATCCAACTGGAGTTTTGAAAAGATCCCTGTGGCTGATCTGTGGAGAATAAACCCTGGGAGGGTCCAAGTGGCCACAGTGAGTCCATAGAGGAGGCTGGGGCAGCCACACAGGCATGAGTTGCGAGTGGCTTGGACCTGGGCAGTGGCTGTGGGGATGGAGAAAAAGAACAAATCCAGGTTACTGGATTCAGAGATGCTGATTCATCCTAACCCTGGTTGAAGGGCCTGATGTATAAACCAGTTGATTCATTTTTAATGAGTGGTACAACTACATGCCAAGTGGATATTGCACTCTCTCCCGGCAGGCCACCCATATGGAAAGCCACAGCGTGTGAAGACTGCTTAGTGCTCCTGTAGGGTGAGCCAGGGGACCCAGCGGTGGTTGCAGTGTTGATGAGCATCAGATGCTGACAGCCTGCTGGGCTAGCCCCGGACCTGGTCAGGCGAGCGTGCTGGGCCTCACAGGGCCCCTCTCCTCCAGATAAGGCTGGCGCGGGCACCGTCAGCGTTTACTTCTCTGGCTGACCTTTCTCTTTTCTAATCCTGTGCATTTGGGTTTTCATATGTTAGTGTCATCAGTCTGGCCTTGCTGGCCTCTGTCTCTTAGAACATCTCTTTCTCCATCCGTTCTGGGCAGCACTTCTGAACTCCTGATTCTCAGACCACTCCCCACTACGGCTTCCTATTCCTGCTTGTAATTGTAGACCCTCTCAGGTTTGTTTTATTGGGTGCATACCATGCTAAATGCTCTGTCTACATTATTTTTCTGAATCTGCATCACTACCCTGAGAGGGAGGGAGGAGAAGATCCGTTTTATAGATGAGGCCACTTGAGGCTCAGGGAAGTGAAGTCATTTGCCCAAGGTCACAGAGCAAGCTAGTGATGAGCCAGGCTTTGAGTCTAAGTCTGCCTGAGCTAGGTCTGCCTCTGGCCCCGCTGCCCTCTGAGGGGTCCGTGAGATGACAGTATGTGAAGTCCCTGACCCTGGGCCTGGCCCCCAGCAGTGCTCACTGACGGGAGTCTTGCCCTTTCCAGCAGAGTGACACTCTGACTCTCACTCTGACTCTGCATCACTCCTGGCTCCTTCACTTCTCCACAGCCCCACCCTGTCCATCCTCACCTTCATAGGCTTCTCGTTCCGGGGTGTCAGGATGTCAAGGCCTCCTGTCTGTCCTCTGCATAGCCCTGCTTGTTCCCATCTCTGGGCGTTTGGCTATGTGCTGACTCAGCCCAAATGCCCTCCCTGCCATCTCCTGTCTAGATTCTCACTTTTCCCAAAACCTACTCCATCTCGTCGTCTGCTCTCTACCCTCTAAGCCTTCTTTGGGCCCTCCAAGCCATGTTCCCAATCGCCGGGTCCCCAGACTCTTCTAGAGGCTGAAATGTACACTGGCAAATCTGAGTCACATGCTGCCCAGTGTTTAACTATTTCCTGTGTGAGCGTCATCCTCCCATGTTGGAGTGAGCTCCACAGGAACCAGCACATGCCCCCCTCAGGTCTCCTACGGTGCCCGGCCAGTCTGGCTGCCCAGCGGGCTTCCTCAGTCCATGCTGACCTGGACCTGGGCAGAACTGTGTCCCTGTGACTGAGTGTGGCAGAAGCCAAGGCCAGTTTCTTGGATCGCTTTTTGTGGCCCAGTGAGAGAACCACACCGTTATCTCTGGACTTGTGAAATAAAGAAGGATCTCATCATGGGTTTAAAAAGTAATGTTATTTTTCTTTTTAATTCATAAAATTTTTTTTAAGTTTAAACAGATTTTATTTATCTCTTTCTCATCCTGTCATAACAAGCCGTGTGCGTTGGAAAAATTTACTTTTTAACTTCTAATTTTTTTTACTCATTCAAGAAATCTCCAAGTATAGTAGAAAAATTGAGAACTACAGTTCAACAAATAGAAGAAAAATAATCTGTACTCCCGCCATCTCAAATCGATCATAGTTAATACTTTGCTGAATTTTCTATATCTGTGTGTCTTCATCAAAATAAGATCAGTCTATACAAACTGTTGTATATCATGCTTTTTCACTCAGATATTTTCCATGATTTTTTATATCATCTTTTTTTACTCTCTAGAGTAGATGAGCCATCATTTATCTAACCAGCCCCTGACCATGGGGTTCACTGGTGACCCATGCCACCTCCTTGGCTTCCAGCCTGGGCCTGAGTGCTTTCTCCTTCTAGGAGATTCTGTGGAGGTTTGCTTGAGGCAGCAAAGTGCAGTGGAAAGAATAATGGCCCCAGAGCTGGGATCTGGGGAGTCAGGAGGCTGGATGGAAAGGAGAATGGGTGGGAGGGACCAGGGAAAACCTGTCTGAGGAAATGACTGTTGCTCAAGTCTCTTTTGCTCCCTGGGTCTCACCTGTGAAAGAAGAGATTGAATCATCTCAGAAGACTTCAGCTCCTCTCATCTGTGGTTCTGCTAGCACCAGGCATTCACCGCCAGCAGGCTCTGCTGGAGACCCTGGCAGCAGAAGACTGTGATATTTATTTAAGATTACTCTCCAGGCTGTTTCCAAGAAGACACAGGCGTGGGGAAGGTTCAGAGATTATGGGCTGAAACCAGACTGAAGCCGAGGGGAGGAGTAGATGCGCCAGAGCCTCTGGGCTTCCTGGGCCTGTGAGGGTCATGTGGATCCTGCTTCTCACAGCAGAAAACATACAGATTAGTCTGTGGATTCTTTTTTTTTTTTTGAAGCAAAATTAAGTAGGCATTTATTTTAAGGATTCTTCCCTATAGGCCTTGTCTAGCGTAATGGCTGATATCCTCCAGTGCAGGCTTAGAAGAGATCCAGAGCCAGGCAGACAGGTCTCAGTTTGAGTCCACGAGGCTGTGAGCTCCCCCGGAGCAGCTCTTGTTGCTTTGTGTCCGGGCCTAGAGTCGGCACTTAGTGTCTCTTAAGCGACAGAGAGCCTTTATTTAACTACGGCTTTAAGTTAACCCGTAAAGCCCAGGGTAATGACGTGAGTGGCAAGCATTTCTGAGTGGGGATGAGGCAGTGTGGACCAAGGCCTTCCCTTCCTCCTCGTCTTACTTCTAAACAGCAGCATCAGTAACAGCAAACTCTCTCACTTGTGCTACTGGCTCCAGCTTACAAAGCATTCCACTCATTATCCACTCTGGAGATTGAGGATGCTCATGACCTGTCTGGGGCCCTAGAGCTCTCATGTGGCTGAGTGGGGCATCCCTGACATTCTTTCCAGTGCCCTTTGCTTTGGGCCAGGCTGGTACCCACTGGAATGCAGGGAGGGAAACTGAAGAATAAAAAGGGAGTGTGGGCAGGGGCTTGGAGCATGGGCATAGCCTAGGTGGATCCAGTGTCTGTCTGTCAGTCTGCCCATCAGAGGCCTCCTAAGGTGTATGGGGTCAGGGAGGGACCTGCCAGGTCTAGTCTGGATCTTTCTCATTTAATATGATGGATCTGGAGGAAGGCTCTAGATTCAGGGGTTAGGGTTCCTGCCCATTTTCCTGTTCTCCGGGTTTTAGCTCCAAACCTTTTTTTTTTGAGGATCCACTGATTAAGGTCAGAAATGTCTGCTTTTGCACTCTTAAAAAAACCCAACTTGTAGGTTAAAAAATATATATGTGTATTTAAAATACAAGTAATTCTAAAGTGTATAAAGTAAAAAATGAAGTTCCCCATCTTACCCCGTGGAGCTCTCCTTTTCCTTTATCCACTTCTGAATTATTAACCTCTCTTAACAGTTTGGTGCGTACCCTTTCAGATCTTTTACCATGTGTGCACAAACACAGAGATGTGTTATTGAGGTTATTGTTTTATTTTTTTTAATATAAAATGGGACCATGCCATTCTCTCTTCTTTTCTCTCTTTGCAGTTTACTTATTTCAGCAGAATAGCTGGGCAATAGGTCCTTGATTCTCTGAAATCTCATTTCCTGCTCCAAGGGGAAAACGATAAGAATAGCCTGTCCCAGACATAATTTCTCTAAGTCTTTCGCTTTTTGGATGAGTCCTAGTGAGATGAAGTGACTGCCCCATATGTGGCAGACCCAGGGCCTGAGCCCAATTCTCCTGACTTTTACGTCATCAGAGCTATGCATTTTTTAAGAGTGCCTTCCTGTCTTTTCCCTCTGGATCCATCCTGACAACATCCCTGTGAAGTCAGCGGGGCAGGAATTATTAAGGCTTGGGACATGAAGAGCCTTGCCCAAAATCAGTGCTGAGAGGGCCTGGAGCCTGGCACTCTTTTGGTTGAGTTCAGTTTATCCAACGTTCATTGAGAGGCTACTGTGTGCCACGTGCTGTGTTGGAGTGACAGCCTGGCCGAGGTCCTGCCTGGAGGTGGTCACTGACTGTCCCTTGTGCTCTTGGCAGAGTGAGCCTCCCTGGGGAGACTCTCATTGTCCCTGAGAAGGGCCTGATTCCAGACCTGGGCCAAGAGATTGGAGTCTCTGAGGAGCTCTATGGACACAAGGGTGGGAGGGGGCCTGTGACCTCGGCTGCTACCACTAACCCCTCACTTCTCATGACTCTCTCCCCATCCCCACTTCCTCTGTCTCTCCCTCCCTCCCTCCTTCCTTTTCTCTGTGGCCCTTTGTCCATGTCTCCATCTGTCTCTCTCCGCATGTGTTTCCTGACCCCCTTGCTTTGTTCTGTCACACCATTGCTGCCCCTCTCCCCTGTCACGTGCGTGCTCTCCTTCATGCCAATGCAGGCGTTCTGGTCACCATGACAACAGAGACAGGCCCTGATTCTGAGGTGAAGAAGGCTCAGGAGGAGGCTCCGCAGCAGCCTGAGGCCGCTGCCACCGCGACCACCCCTGTGACTCCCGCAGGCCACAGCCACCCTGAGGCCAACTCCAATGAGAAGCATCTGCCCCAGCAGGACACTCGGCCTGCTGAACAGGTGTGTGCCTGAGAGCGTGGGCATCCCTCTTCCTGCCCAGCCAGTCCTGCAGGGCCAGTTCTTAGGAGGGAAGAAAGAAGGAAGCTGAGATTTATTACTGACCCGGTACCTGCCGAGCAGTGTGCTGGGGGCATTGTGTTCATTTTTATATTTAATTCTCCCAAATCTGAGAGGATAACTGTTAATTTCACCATTTTACACTTGGAGAAATGGAGGCCCAGCAGGTTGAAGTGAGTTATCCAAAGTCACGTTGCTAGAATGTGACAGAAGTACAAGTCAGATATAGATCTGATTTCGAAAACCCGTGTTCTTTCAACCTTATTTTCCTACTTTCTGAGCCTGTCCATTCTAGCTTAGCAAGCCCAGTGTGACCCCAGAGCAAAATTCATCACTCTAAAGAGACAAGGGATTTGGAGAATCATCTAGCCATTGAATTCACATGTCCCTTAATTCACACAGGTCCACAGAGGGCAGGGACTTGGCCTGGGTCATTGAGGGTGTCAGTGGCAGAGTTAGGACTAGTGGACAGGGGCTGACCTCTCTTCCCTCCATTAGATCAGTCCACAAGTTCCCAGCCTCGTGCTAGATCCAGTGACAGACCGAAAAGGAGGAGACCAGATGGATGCCCTGATAACTCATGCAGTATTCTAGGGAGACAGGACAGCTCTAGCCACCAGGTTTGGTTTTGTGGGATGCTTCCACCTGCAGAGGCTGCCCATGGCAGCAGGAGCCTGTGGGAAAGCAGTGGACCCCTCACATGAACCACCCCATTGCACAGAGAAGCTCTGGCTTTCCTCCTATACACACCCACCGTAGACCCTGGTCACCACGGGGGTCTTGGAGGGCAGTGGCTCTCATTTTGGGGTCCATCTTAGCCCTAACTCCCTCCTTATTGCATCTTATTTGGATGAAAGGCTATGGTGTCAAGCTCACTGACCAAACTCTTCCCTTGGTTGGCCCTACAGAGCCTAGACATGGAGGAGAAGGACTACGGTGAGGCCGATGGCCTGTCAGAGAGGACCACGCCCAGCAAGGCCCAGAAATCGCCCCAGAAGATTGCCAAGAAATACAAGAGTGCTGTCTGCCGAGTTACTCTGCTCGATGCCTCAGAGTATGAGTGTGAGGTGGAGGTAGGGGCACCCAGCAGCGTATACCCCCGTCCTGGCTGGCTGGCCTCAGAGAGGGCAGGCTTCTGTGTGCACTCAACCTGGGCCAAGCTGGAGGGTATCCATTCTTCGTGGAGTCCTGGATTGACCATAGCATCCCAGAGAGATGACCTGGCCAGCCCTCCTTTGTACAGATGGTGGCACTGAGGCCCGGAGAGGGCTGTTGTGTTTGCAAATAGAATTAGACAAGGCACAGGGCTGGTGCCAGGAAAAGGTTTCTCAGGGTGGCTGTACCTTGACAAGGAGCCACCACCTAAGGGCTGATCTGTAGCCCGGTAGGCCTAGGAACTGTGCTCTTTGATCTCACCCAGCAGACACTGATGTTTCAACTAGAATCATTTTTATGTATTTGTTGGGTGGAGAGAGGCATCCTCCCTTGTGAACCCCCCTGTCCAGGGCACCAGGACGAACTGGTCACTTGGTCACCCTTCCATGGTAAGGGTGTCCCCCAGGCATAGGGAGGCAGCCCATTGGAAGGACTCTCTCACCCAGGCCGTGTAGAAACCCTGTGGCATGGTCCTGTTCCACAGTGGGTGGCAGGGCAGACACCTCCTCTCTGGGGTCAGCCCTGCTGGCCCCACATTTAGCGTCTTCCTTTCCTGTATAGGCTAGGACTCCCACCCCAATTCTAAACTCTCACTCGCTCCCTTAGGGGTTCTACCCCAGTCTCGGCACCATTCCTGGCCCTCTCCACATGTATGGAAGAGTCCAGAGGGTGGCCTTACTGTTGATGGTTACAAGAGCCACCTCTGTTTCTTCCCCATGCCCTGGTCTTAAGGGATGTGACTTGCTTCTGAGCCCTGGGAGACTGGGTCCCACTTCTTTAAAGGTTTGGTTTTTTTTTTTAAATGTTTATTTCTATATAAGAAGGGTTTCAGGGTAAACACCTTGCCTACTCCTGGGCAAAAGAGAGGAACATCATCTACCCCTTCTCTCCTACCTACACTGGCCCCAAGATGCTGTTTCAGCCCACCCTAGAAGAGTGTAGAGGGTTTGGCTGAGGCTAGGTCCGCTCTCTCTGAAGGACTCCTCCAGGTTCAGGAATCCTTTGGCTTCCCAAAATTGTTCTCCTCAGTCAGGCCTGGTCCCATTCCTGGTGACCTCGCCAGACCTGCAGGGACCTCACCCTGTGTCTGGAGGCCCCTGCCCCTTTGGGTAATGACTACTTCACACTGCCCCTGCCTTGTGATCCTTTATTGGTGCTCATCTTCACACCTGTGGGTTTGGGGTACCCAGCAGGTTCTGGGCTTTGTCCTTCTGAATCCTCAGGCCCAGATGGTGTTCAGAGAGGTACCGTGGCTTGTTGTATGGGAATGTTGGGAATGGTTGTTGTATGAGAGGGGAAGGTGGCTCGAACAGTACTGCTTCCAGCTGAGGCTGAGTTAGGCCCCGTGAGCCCATAAACCAACTGAGGTTTTAGGCCCCATAAAACCTCAGTTGCTGCACGGGTGGAGTGGGGGCATTCCAGGCTGGCTGCCTGGATTTCACTCAGACTTAGTGTAAGGGGTGGGGCAGGAAGGAAAGTTACTTTGGAACCCTGAGTCCCAGGCCCTCCCCTTCTCCTCTGCCCACTTCTCTCATATTTTAGGTAGCTCTTCTCTTCCTCTCACACCCAAAGATTAGACTTGGTTTTCTGCTGCTTGGGTTCAAGTTAGCCTCCTTCTCTTAATCGCCATAGAGGAAGGAGAAATCAGTCACTCCCCCACCTCCACTCCCTCCAGGGAGGTCTGAGGTCTTGGAGGACCCCACCAGGGCTTGCAAGAAGGCAATTGATGAGTTGGGGGTTAGTGTCACCCCAGGATCCCTTAGGACTCGGAGAGCAGAGCCAGGTGGGTGGCAGGAGTGCTGACATCCTCTCCAGACTCTGGAAGGCCCTTGGGGGTTTTCAAGTTGTCCTGGTGGAGCCTGGGATATCTCCCCGCCCCACCCCAAGGTGTGTCCAGCGTCACAGCAGCTCTGCTCTCCTCTTCAGAAACATGGCCGAGGCCAGGTGCTGTTTGACCTGGTCTGTGAACACCTCAACCTCCTGGAGAAGGACTACTTTGGCCTGACCTTCTGTGATGCCGACAGCCAGAAGGTACCTGGGCTGGGAGGCAGGGCTGGCAGGAAGGCCCGCTGTGGGGGACACCTCTTCCCTTAGGCCCCCATAGTCCTGGCTGCATCCTGCAGCTTCCATCAGTCCTCAGATCTTCATTAGGCACCTTCTGTTTGCATGTCCCCGAGGTTCAGCCAGTGCTATCCGTCCTTGGTTCTCTGTCTCCACCCGCCCCAACCCAGTCCTTTCTTAGGGATCTGCAAGTCACCCCCAGATGGGTATCTGGAGAGCCATGGCATGGCTTCCTGGGGGGACTGAGGCACTCACTCCAGTGCCTCTACCCTACCCTTGGGAGGCTCCTGGCTGAGTCTCCTCCTTCCCACCAGTCTCACCGCAGCTGCATCACCTGCTCTCTGTGCTGCCTCAGGGCAGTGCCAGCCCCAGCGCCTTGGGTCCCAAGCCCTATGGTGAATCCAGGCCTCATTCCCTCACCTCCCAGTCCCGAGGAAAAGGGCCCAGACAGCTCAGCCAGAGAAGGGTGTTCCCTGCCAGGGGCTGTTGAAGGGCATTTCAGGATGCTTCTCTCTCCTAGCCCTATCGGGTCCTCTCCTCCTTCTTCCCTCTAAAGAACTCTATCTTCTCTTGCAGAATTGGCTGGACCCCTCCAAGGAAATCAAGAAGCAGATCCGGAGTGAGTGGCCTGCCGTGATAGGAATGTGATGGAAGGGTGGGCGGGGCCTCCAGGCCACAAGGGCCCCAGTTGTGCTATTTCCAACGACTTTGGGAAGTGCATTCAGACTCATGAGTTCATTTGCCCCACTTGGTAGATCTTGGGGAAGGCAGGGTGGGAATTACTGTTTACCCTTGTATTGTAGATGAGGAGCCTGAGGTTGGCACAAGAGAAATGACTGTCTAGAGTCACACAGCAGGTTAGCAGAGGAATCACAGACGCATTCAGGATGTCAGCCCTCGAAGGGACCTGCAGAGTCATCTATGACAAGGGGACAAACTGATGGCCTGAAAACAGCCACCCTCCTGTCCAGGGCTGGCGTAGGCTTCAGTGATCAGTGACCCTTGGCTCAGCTCAGAATCCTTGCCCACACAGCCCTCCAGAGGCCACTGCCAACTGATAAGAGTTAATGTGTTGGGAAAGCTAGGCCTGTCTCTGATCTTGACCATCTTCTGTGTTTAATGATGGGTGACTGAGGCCCAGGGAGAGGCAGTTATTTACCCAAGGTCACAGAGCAAGGTATTGGCTGAGCCAGGTCTTGAGCCCTGGCCTCCCAACACCATCCTATATTCTCTTCAAGACCTGGGACTAAAACAGATGAGCAGGCCAACAACCTGTCCTTTCTGGCCCAGAGAGAAAAGGCATGTTGGGAGGGGTGGGGCAGCCTTCAAATGGCAGAAGGGGGAGGTAGGTGGCCTTGGCCAGGGGGCATGCAGTAGGCGGAGACCTGGAGCCTAGAGGCAGAGATGCCTCCACTGAGGGCTCCTCCCCCTTGGCTGTGCTTGGGCTCCCTGGTCCCCAGGCTGGAAAGCTGTAGGGAGCCTGTTGCCATGACAGCAGGCAGCTGGGCCCAGGGATGCCAGCTGATTCTGCAGGAGGGGGCTCGAGGAATTCTTCCTGTAGGCTCCTGTCAGTTGGAGGCAAAGAGGCAGGCATACAGACAGAGCATGCTCCTCTGGGGCCAACAGGGTCCTAGGCCTGGGCTTCAGGCTGTCTGTCCCCAGGAGTCCCAGCCCAGCTGGGAGGTCTGCCTCTCATGCCTGAAAGAATTGGAACACATACAAGTGGCTGAGTATGCAGTGTTTGAGAAGGACCAGGAGCTTGGAAAAGAGAAGCGCCCAACAGAATCATTGGTCCTCAGCATCCCTCCCCAGGGCAGGGGGTCGGTCCCCCATCCCCACAGCCCCAGCCAGCACAGCCCAGGTGTGGTGAACAGTCACTCTTTGTGGCCGCCTTACGTCATCAAGGAGCAGTCCTGCCTCCTTCAGTAGAGCTGCAGTCACCATCCCTACGCCTGTAACTCCCACCTGTTCATGCTACTTCTGCCTTCTGGGGTCCCCGTGGTGCAATTTTTTGCCCCCTTTCTTTGTTCGTTACAAGCCCTCAGCATTCTGAAGGTGGCACTACAAGTCCTTGTATCCTAGGCTTCAGAATTGGGTATATTTCCTCCCAAATCTTAGTGCCCATCACTGGGGAGCGGGGGCAATTCCTCCACCTCTCTGGGCTTCTGCTTCTCCTTAGCCAGTGGAGTAGTGATTCCTGCCTCACAAGGTGGTGGTGACAGTTAAATGAGGCGTGTATGTACCTGGCATATAGTAGGTGCTTCCCTGAGGCAGTCTGGTGTGATGGTTCTTTTAACCAGACAGACACTGGAGCCAGACTGCCTGGATTTGAATCCTGAATCCATCACTACTTCTTGTGTAATTTAGTTGTTCTGTGCTTGTCTCCTCATCTGTAAAGTGGGGGTAATGATAGTACTTACTGTGGGGTTGTTGTGAGGATTAAATGAGTTATTATGTGGACAACACCTGGAATGGTGCCTGCACACAGCAGCAGCCAGATGTATTAGCCTTTATTATTATTTTTTATTAGCACTTCTGTTATTATTCCTGAGACTGAGGTTGTTTCCCTTTGAGGCTGCTTTTTCCAAGGAGTCACCTGTGGTCAGGAGCCTAGGCTCTGGGTTCAGATGACCAGAGTTTAGATCCCTGTTCCCTACCACTGAGTGCCCCAGGGAAAGTGACTTAACCTCCCAGATTCTTCATCTATAAAAAGGAAAGTCAAGGGGCTGGCCCCGTGGCCTAGTGGTTAAGTTCAGCACACTCCACTTCGGTGGCCTGGGTTCAGTTCCCAGGCATGGACCTATACCACTTGTCAGTGGCCACCACTCATGTGGAGACCCACATACAAAATAGAGGAATATTGGCATAGATGGTAGCTCAGGGTGAATCTTCCTCACCAAAAACAAAAAGGAAAGTCAACCTCAGGATCATTATGAGGATTAAATTCCTATACATGCACATAAAGTTATTAGCAAGCCAAGTGATTGGTGCTTAGTAAGTGTTGGAGACGTGACAGCTATATAGTGAAGATAGTGATGACCACAGGGACAAGGATGGTAGTGATGGCATGGCCTCCAGCCCTTCATGACCATGGCCCTGCCCTGGATGGGCCTCGCTTTCTGACTTTGTCAGAGGCCTTTCTAGAGCATGGAGCCCGAAATGTCCCAGGGGTGGTCTGACCGTTCTTCTGGATTGTAGCCTTTCATCAAGGCCTCCTCTCTCTCTTTTCTGCCTTCCCCCTCCTCCCACCTCTCTCCCTTTCTTAAGTGGGCATCCCTTCTCTTCGTTTGCAGAGCTTATTTCCACCTAAAACCTCAGCCTTTATTTCTCTCTACCTTCCTCTATATGTGTACCACTGATTTTTCATATCCAAATGTGGAGGTTAATATTTATCCCTGTGAAATGTCCTTTGTTACTTTTAGTCCATCGTATTTGCCTTTTAGGTCTTGTTTATAATCCAGTTCTGTCATCTGAGATGGAGTCAACATGATATAGGACAGAATTTTCCGAAGTGTGTTCTGAGGATCATTAATCTGGCAGAATGCCCTATGAAAAATGGATACAGCAAGTCAAATAAGTTTTGGAAACACTTGAATGCATGTCTCCTTTAGAGACTTGCAGGTTACATTGGCAGAGTGAGGGCTCTGAGAAGTCCAAAGTTAGGAAACTTGTTCAACATGGTACTTTCTAGACTTGTTTTCTTCCCGTTAACATCCTGTGGCATAGACTTTGGTGTAGAGGAGGGAGCATGGGCTCTGGAGCCAGGTGGCTGGGTCTGAACCCCAGCATTGCCACTTCCTAGCTGGGTGACCTTGGCCTGGCCACTTTACTGCCTGGGCCTCAGTGTCCTCGTTTGCAAAATAGGGATAATCATAGGACTTACTCATAGGGTTGTTGCGAGGTTTAATGAAGCGATGTTTGTAAAGTAATTAACGGTGTGCCTAGCATGCACCATTGGTTTTCTTTCTTTCTACCTTCCCTCCCACTGCTAGTTTATTTATTTATTTATTTTTATTTTAATT